GTCCGAGCAGACCCCGGCACTTCGCGGCCGTGCAAGTGGGAGCGCGAGCGCCTCTGCTTGGAGAACCCCGGCCTAGGGGCGCCCCAAGATCTGAGAAGGCAGCGGCGAGGGGGCGCGCGCGGCGGCCGCCCGGGCGGAACAGGTTCCTTCCAGTTTGGGCGTGAGCGGCGCGCGGCGCCCGAGTTCCCGCTCCGGCGCCCACGTCCCCCGTTCCATCAGCCGCGCACCCCCGCAGCGCCCCTTCCGGGCTGGGGAGCGTGCCGCAGAGCTCCCGGGGCGCCCGCCGCCCGCTGTTTCGGGGACGAGTTCCTTCCCCCTGCTGCTGCTGCTGCTGCTGCAGCGGCGGCGGCCGCAGCATCCGTGCGGCGCGGGAGGGATGTGCCGGGCCGGGCTGAGTCAGCGTCCCCGGCCGGGCGCGCGCACCGCCTCCCGCACAGGTGCAGCTGCGCTCGGGAACCGCCGGCGGGGACCGCGGCTGCCGGGGGCGGGAGCCCCTCGTCGCCGAACCGCTGACTTTAAGGCCACCGTGCACAACGCCGAGGATACACCGGCGCCCTGAGATACGTAATCCCCAAGGGAGCAGGGCGTGTGTCAGAGGATCTCAGGCGTTTCCGAGCCCAGGACGGCGGAAGCTGGGGTTCTAGTTCCCCCTGTCCCAACCCCAGGGCAGATTGGAGACCGCGGAGCAAAGGCCGTGTTCTTCGCGGTGTCCTGCGGACTTTGGTACTGTCGTCCCCTTGGACGGAGCTGGTACAGAGAATGTGATTCTAATGTCAGAAACTTAAGCGAGCCTAGTTTGGGACTGTGCGGAGGACTGCCGCCAGGAGAAGCCAGCGATCTGAATTTTAATAAAAGTCGTCGCTTGGTCGTTGCGTTCCCTCACGATTTGAGGATCGGTTGCGCCGGATTAAACTCCCGTCTTTCCTGTGAAACACCCGCGTGGTTTAAGCACAGAGATGTTATGTCGGTGCAGAGTTCCTGGTTATGGCCAGGCTTGGGCAATCAGAGCACTGTTAAGTAGTTTTTGCAATATTTGACTTCATTCTGAGACGAGGTCTCACTATGTAGTTCAGGCTGGCTTTGAATTCACTATGTAGCCCAGGCTGACCTTAAACTCAGGGATCCTTTTGCCTCAGCCTTCCCCATGCTGGGATTACAGGCTCGTGCCACCATATCCAGCTCAGTTTTGGAATCTTGAAGGATTAATTTAATTTTGGAGAGGGTTGAGCTCCGAGTCTGTGAAATGGGAATAATTCCCAGATTTTATTTTATAATACCTACGAAGTGTGGGTCATAGTGATTGGCACAGGGTAAATAAATGCCAGGCATGGATTAGTTCTTATTATCAGAGCAGCTGCACATGCCCTGAGAGAGTCTTTGAGTTGTTCCTTGAGAAATCCATATGTGGTAATATTAAGAACCAGATTATTGGGCCGGCCAGATAGCTCAATAGGGACAGGGGTTCAATCTCCTGCGTGCTGTGCCAGCCCCGCCCCCGGGGCGCTCTGAGACAGCGATTGAGACTGGGTGTGGTGGCACACACCTGTAATCACTTGGGAGGCTGAAAACGGGAGGATCGCTACAAATCCAATCTGTGTAGTGAGACCCTCTAGACCCTGTACTAAATACATTAAAAAGAAAAGGATTATAACCAGGACCTGGTGGCCTATGACTGAGAGCCCAGCATGGGAGAGATGGAGACAGGAGGATTGCCCCAAATTCTAGGCCAGCCTGGGTACATAGTAAGAGCCTGTCTCAAAAATAAATAAATAAATAGGCTGACCAGATAGCTCAATGGATTATAGCACCTTCTTAGGCAGATGCAGGGACTGGTTTGATCCTGGCCTGATCCCAGCCTGCCGTGCTGGCCCCGCCCCTGGGGCGTGCTGAGACAGGAGGTGGTGGCATGGGCCTGTAATCCAGTGCTTGGGAGGCTGAAAACAGGATCACTGCTAGTTTGACCTGTGTAGTGAGACCCTGTACTAAAATACATTTTAAAAAAGAAAAGAAAAAAGAAGCATTTTCATCACTACAATGAAACAATGTGAAAATTGAAGGTCCTGTCAGCATAATCTTTGATATTTAGAGTCTTAGGTTTTAGGACAGGTTTCCATATTTGATCGAGTGACATCTGGCTGGAGGGGAGAGGAACTTGTGCATAATATTTTGTCACTACTCCTATAATCTCACTTTTTGTTAGCATTAATTACAATGAATATTTCCATGTTTTCTTTGTCCCTGGCATTGTAGTCAGTGCCATACATGTGACTTCTGACCCAGCAGTAACTTTGTGCATGCAACACTCGCTGTCTCCTTTTTATTTTTTATTTATTTATTTTTTATTGTATTTTTTAGGGAAGGATCTACAGGATGTTCAGGGTCTCACTACTAGATCGGACTTATAGTGATCCGCCTGTTTACAGCCTCCCAAGAGCTGGGATTACAGGCCTGTGCCACCACGCCCAGTCTCATTCACTGGCTCAGTGTGCCCCAGGGGCAGGGCCCGCATGGCAGGCCCGGGGATTGAACCCCAGCCCCAGTGCTGCTTGCAGGCACTTTAATCCACTGAGCTATTTGACCGGCCCACTGTCTCCATTTTATGTATGAGGAAAGTGGAGGTGCAGAGCCCTGAAGGGTACACCCAGGGGAGACCACCTTTGCAGATACCCAGCAGGCCTGCTGGCACCTAGAGCTGGTCTGGAGCTGACACGAGCTGTCTGGGTTTGGGTGAAGGGGCTGTGCTGCCGCGCTAGCCACAGGCAGGTGACTTGTGCCTGTCCTGGTTAGAGACCGGCTTCTTTTTGTTCCCTAGAGAGGCCAAGCCTGAAAACTTGTACTTGTTTTCACATATCCAGGGAAAGTACTGCATTACTATGCTAATCAAAACCCCCAAATAAAATTAACTGTTTAGGTCTAAATGAGAAACAAAAGAACCTTTGGAGTCTGGAGTATAGGATCAGAAGAGTCAGGAAATTCAGCGCTGGGTTCGGCCGCCTCTCGGCTTCTCCCACAGGTCAGTTGGCGGGTGAAGCCCCCTTCAGCCCTTCCATTACAGGGGTCAAGGCTGTAATGGTGCCCTTAAAGAGTCACTCAGCATCTTTTTGGGAAAAACTGGCTCCCCGAGATGTCCAGGCCTCCGTCTTTTCTGTCCGTGCTCAGGGGCATTTGCATGAGAACAGATTGCTTTGTGCAGAGTTGGCCTGCTGGTGCTTGTCCACGCTTAGCCCCTCAAGTTTTCAGGCTGGGTTGCTAGGCAGATATGATCCTGGCTTGCAAATAAGCTCCCCACATTTTCCAGCTTGTGAGAACTTCAACGGGTAAGTTGGTTGAAAGGAGTCTGGTCAGGAACACAGAAGGAGGGTCTAGGAAGCCCGCTTCTGGTCTTCAGGGCAGCCCCGGAAGAGCGGAGTGCCGTGCTGTCCGCAGTGCCTGCCTGGGTCCCAGCCACTCGGAGGCTGAGGCAGGAGGATCCAAGTTTGAGGCTACTTTAGGCCATTGAGTGAGATCCTCCCTTCAAGTAAAATCTTAAGAAGTCTTTGGGAAATGCAGCCCAGTGCTAGGCCCTGCTCTCCCCAAAACAAACTGAAAAACAAGCTTACTATTTGCTTCACTGGTTGGGAGGAAACCTTTTGAATTGTTACCTGAGAACATTTCCAGGGAACAGATTGCCTGGTAGATGCGCTGGGTTAGTTCTGTGGTGTGGCCCCCTGCACACCCATCTGACAGGCTTGCAGGAGGGTGGGCGTGAGACTTGGTGGGGTTGCCAAGTGATTGTAGTGATGGTGGTGGTGACCGATGCCTCTTGTGTTGTGATGATGGCTGAGTGACTGTGTAAGGGACCGAGCTCTGTACTTTGTGTTCTGGAAGGTTCCATAGGAGGCATGAGGCTGCACCCCCGCTCCCCCAGTGTGCTGAGAAGCTGGGAGGATGATCAGGGAAGTGCAGACGAGGCAGGGCGCAACTTGAGAGGACTGGCAG